CAGAGGTTCTTGCAGCAAACGAGCTCGCCCTTGCTCTATTCGCGTATGGCGGTTATGGTCTGATCCCCAGTTCTGACTTGAATGTTTGGTGTTGCATCGGGCAATGGAGATGTGTTTGGACCTAGTCTGGCGAATTCTGTGGAAGAGGAATCGGGGGCGCAATGCTGGCAAATGCGCGAGGTGAGTGGGCCAGGACTTGGTAGTGAAAGTGAGATGGGGAAGGGTCGATAATTACTAAACAAATCATGAGAGACATTGACTGTTTGGAGCGCATCTTACGCGAGATCATTTGCCAGGATTGTGGATCCGATTGCCTACATAGACCTGGGCTATACGCGCACAGCAGCTGAGCGCAAACAAGCCGGTAGCTGAAAGCTATGGGGGGTCATCAAAGAAGGAGGAGGCATTTTCCCTTTTTGAAAGCAGGGTGCTAGGAGTGGTACTGCTTGGTGGTATTGAGGAAAAGTGCCTGTGTTTGCAGAGGGTGCTGGTAGCAGGTTGCAGGTTGCCAGTGCGAGGTGACTACTGCCAGATAGCTGTGGGTCAAAAATAGGGTAACCCCAAAATGGCTTGCCCTGGTAAATGGACACATAAAACCGGTCCAATTCCTGGCTTAATTTTGCTCCATGGTCAGGTGTGGTTTCTGGGTCAAATGGAGTATGATCTTTGACCTTTGTCTCCAAGCCTCCGGCTCGGCTCCGAGGACCTTACGCGAGGATTCCACTATCTTCTCTGTTTCTGCCCAGAATCTCGAGCGGCACATTGCGCAAACTGCATGTGAGTCATTGGGCTTTCTCGAACAGTTTGTGGAGCTTAGGCGTTCGATGCTTCGGAGGGCATCTTTCCAGTGATTGATGGTGTTTGTGGTCAGTATGACGACTTTGTGCAGCAGGCAAGCTTGTGTGGTGACGAGACATACCCAAGCAAGAAGTCCTCCGAAAGTTCATCTTGCACCTGCATCATTTCAGCAGGGGGATGTGACCATTTTTTTGCGAGGTGGGGGTTCTTGATGGGCTCATGACTACATTTCACGACGTGGATGGCGTGGTGGTTCAGCAAGTGCTGCCCATGACCCGATTCACAATCAGAGCCCCAGCTTGCATGGACCCAGTTGCACTGTGTGCCCTGGACAAAGGCAACTTTGGCTTTATATTTTGTCCAGAAGTTCCGAGCCGTACTCAGGAGTTGATTGTGGTGGTGGCTTTGACAGCTGTAATGCGAACGACTTTTCCAGCATCAAGGCGTGGGTCGGAACGTTTGGTTACACACACACACAGCCTTAGACAGTTTCTGGAGTTTGACACTGATTGTCGCATTACACAGAGCGTCCAAGGTGATCCCTCGAGCCTGGTCTGAGATGGATTCCGCCATCGGCTTCATGCACTGGAACACCAGCAACGCTTGCCCAGAGGCGTCACAAACAGACAAGCAGCAGCTACCTGCTCATGGTGCCTGAGGCAGTCGAGACCTCGCAGTGGTACTCGCCAGTGAATTGCTTGGAGTGGGCCTAAGTTGCTCGGACATTTGAGTGGCAAGAAGGTGCTTAAGTGACAGAGATCAGCGGTCGCCAGGAGAATGGCCAGCGCACTTCGGAAAACTGTCAGGCGCAGCAAAGGGTCAACACTACAATGGCTGATACCGTTATTACCGTTTGTTTTCGACAAGGGAATGGAGCGGGCAAGGGGCAGAGGAGCGGCTCAAAAGAGGCTTTCACTCAGGCACACAGCAATGACACAGCGTCCATGCGCTCGATGCATGAATCCAATCAGGATTGGTCTTGATGCAATGCGAGATTAGAGCTTGGAAGAGATGGCATGCTGCAGATTGGAATTTCTGAGTGACAATCTGGCATGCCGGCTTCGTGCTAGGCCAGCGGCGGGACCCTGATGACTGAGAAGCGGAACCGCCATGTTCGCTACTGCAAACCGGGGTGGGGTCCCCTTGAGAGGGAAACCACAAGGGGTTTGGACCACACTACCATTTGAATCACTTTGGCCAGGATCTTCGGGCAGAATGAAGTCAGATTCCTGCCAAAGGTTGATGCCGACAACGTGCCTTGTCTCAAACAGGCGTTGCTGGAATCAGGCGCTTATCGTGATTTCTGTACTCTTTTTGTCATCCGCCCTGCCCTCCTCCGATCTATGCATCATTTTTTTCATTTGTCAATTAATTCCATGGAGATTCACCTCTTTGTCCATGCGTCCATTCATTAATTCATCCACCCATCCAGGCAGCCATCCATTCATATATGCATTCATCCATGATTCCATCCATCCATCTATTCATCCCCCTCCTTCTCAGCCTGCATCCCTGCAATGTGGTTGTTTAGCTGCTTGACTGCTTCACCTGCTTTTGAAATACCTGCCCAACATCAAAGGCACACATTTGCACTTGTCCAGATTTGCCGCAATAGAGTCGTTAGGAAGGCATTCATACTTGCAAGAAGTCCAGAAGGGGGTTGGGTCGGCAATGGGTAAGATTTATGACAGGGGATGGCTTGCAAGTTTTTGAGGCTGGGATTTATGTATTGATGAATATTGTTCTGAATTGGTAACAGGGTTGTAGGAAGGAGGTGCGGGATATTCTTGTTTGTGCGGTCGGCGGGTAGAAGTAAGGCAGAAGGGAGTCATTTTCCTATCGGGACGGTCACCTGCAGAATCAAGTAAAGCCATTGCCTGCTTGGCTACATCACTTGACGCATGTATGCATACATACCTGTGTGCAGACCCACATACCAACATACCTACATGCCTACACACCCACCACCATACCTACACACCAGCGTAGAGGTTTCACAAATTCTTGTTCATGTACTTGAGTTGCAGCCCCGCCAACAGCTCCAACACCCCCCCCGCATGCGTGCAAAGGCAACAAGGAGAGGCATCTAGGCCCCATTTCCTTACGTAGGCCCGCATAGATGATTAAAGGCGAGCGTACCTTTCGGGTAAGCCGATGGCCCCTTACTTGGATGGCTTAGTTCGCAGGCTGCAGCATAAGTGAGAGCGAGGCTGATCTGATCTGATGGCGTTGATAGATTGGTGCAACACGAAAAGCTGTTTGAGAAGCTTTGAACAGGCCCCTGGCCGTTTTGTCGTCCAAGACCAGTACGGGATGTTGTCGGCGAAAAGGAAGAAGGTTGGCATCCGGCAAGCATGCCTACTTAGCCCTGACTTGCTTCTACTAGTCATGACGTGTGTCATGATGCAAGATCTACATGCTCAGGCCATGTTGTAAATGCACGGGTCCCAGGGCTTCGCTTTGATGCAGTGTACGTGCGCGCTGCGATCCTGTTTTCGACAACACCGCGAGGTCTGAATGATCTTTTGTGCTAGAAAAGCAATGGGGCTAAACGCCATCCTCGCAATATGCACCGTGACGAGCACGCCTCTAGACAAGACACAGGAAGCCTAGGGAAGATGGGCCACACAGAAGACATGAGGAGGGAAGTCTCACGACGAGGCCAAGACACAAAACGAAACTGGCAAAGGATATCCCTCTTGAAGGACTGCAACACTAACAAAGAATGGCAACCACACAAAAAACGACGCTGAAATCAAACGCAAGCTTTTTAAAGCCTTGAAACCATTTACCCCACACGGTCCTTGAAGAAAAGGTTGGATTCCTTCTATCTTGGGGGGCTACAGAAAGTTCTGAAGCTCCGACGAATGCCAGGGTGTACAGTTTAGCGTGCGACACATCAGTCTCACTGAGACGGGGGCGTTTGGCGGGACATATATCGCAGGAAAGTAACAATGACGTCTAGGACAAGTTTCACTCCAAGCTGAGCCTAACCTCGGCCTCAAAGGCAGTGGTTGTACAGATCGGTATAATATGAAGGTGTCCTGCAACAAAACCATGTTTCTTTCTTCTGCAATACTGAGGACCTCAGGAATAAGTTCGTCGCAAACAAAATACAATCAATACCAGCTCACATTTTGTCGCGTTTGCGCAAACGTGGATGAGAAGGCCCCAATCGGTCAGTGCATGAGTTGTATGTCTTATGTGAACGTAGTTTAATTGCGAATTCGATGAGGATTGGGTTTCAAGAGTACCGGCCGCGAGTCTGACTCAGGCTGGAGTCGCGCAGTTCTTCGATGTTTGCTTTGTACACAAGGCTGGAGCTGTGTGTGTGTGTCTCTAAGTGTGTGTGTGTGTGTGTCTCTGAGTGTGTGTGTGTGTGTGTGGATGTTTGTGGTGTGTGTGTGTGTGCCGTTGGGTGTGTGCGCTCGTGTGGTTGGTGTTGGTATATATATATATAGCTTTGCTTGCAATACATGCTTATCTACTCATTTCATTTGCAGGATCCAGCAATTGACACTCTGGCCGTCCAAGACTTCGAGCCTTTCAGTGACGATGCCATGCAAGAGACCACCAGAACATTCTTTAAGGCATTTGTTTTCTGAGAAGCTGAAGCGGAAGTTTGGCTGCGACAGGTTGGACAGCTGGTTGTTGAGCCCCTTTGGTTGTATGGCACTGACACTTGGGTAGGGACCTTAGAAGCAGTCATGGATGTGGGGAGCCGGCGAAGCTTTTTGCGTGCATTGTAACTGACCATCAATGGTCCGCTTGCTGTTGGTTTGGGGAGGGCACGGGGAAAACCCAAGTTCCCCGCACAAATCCAGACACAGGCCCCAATTTCCCTTGTCTCGGACAACTCGTCTTGTCGTTTGGGAGCAAAGGTCATGAGCCGGCCCAATGAGATCCGCATGGGGCCCCCGGATCTCTCGCGGTCGAGCAACCTGCACGGCAGCCTTCTAGATGGCTTCGTGGCCAACGGGAGCAATCCCATGGGGCCCATGATCAAGGCGTGGCATAGAGACATTCTGGACATTCTGCATGGCACTTGTGGCACTTGTGGCACTTGTGGCACTTGTGGCACTTGTGGCACTTGTGGCACTTGAATGAAGGTCATCTTGGAGGATGGGACAACTGGCTCTTTGGACTCCTATGGCTGCTTTGGCTTCATTCCCAACGAAGCCTCCGTCGCGGAAGCCTCAGAGCCTCAGCATCGCGGAACGCAGGGCGGGGAACGCGGGGCTGTTGTTTCAGGCCGGCGTGTACTGCTCCAATCGATCCTTTTGCACACCCAGAGCTACGAAGGTTGGGGAGGACAGGCACTTGATTGCTGGTCCTTCGCAGCACTCACATTTCAGATGCTAGGAGTTGATGCTGGATGGCGGAAACCCTGACCACCGCATTACGGTTCTGAAGGCGTGTGCCCCTGTTTTCTCGCGAGTACCGGGAGTCAGACGGTGTAGGCTGAAAGCCTAAGTGTGCTTTGAGGCTGGGGTCACCGCAGTTTGCTACTGCGAGGCCAGGGACGTGATTTTGTTCACTCAACAAGCGCTTTCCTCCTTAGGCATGGCCTTTGGATGGTTTGGAGCGATGCAACAAGCGCTTTGGCTTCAACTCGTTAGCGCTTTCTTTCTTGCGATGCTTGCTCCAAGGGTGGAAGATTGGCTCCTGGTCGGGAAGTTCTTGGTGTCGGGCCCGCGCGGAAATCAGGAGCGAAATTCTTTGAATTGGGATGTAGAGCCGGCAGTTTCTCTTGAGGAGTGGACGCTGGACACGGGAATGGTGCAAAGCCTGGAAGTTGAGGGATGGGGTTTGCGGGAGAGCAACACCGTCCGCATCCTCGAGAAGGGCCAGACCTGTCGCGAGGCTTGAGAGGCCCAGCCACAGAACATTCATCGCTCGCTTCGCCAGGAGAGCTTCAACATCGTTGCAACCCATGTGAGATGGTGCTCAGCATCGAACAAGGGTGTCTGTGTTATGCACGCCCAGGGCACAAATGCTCCTTGGCAGCACATTGTATGGACAAAGTCACGTGTGCGCATCAATGGGCTATTTTGTAGACGTGAGACGGCAAAGGCTCGAAACGCGGCTTCGTCGGTCTGCGCTTGTCTCGCTAAGGCCACCTCGATTTTTGATTTGCCTGGGATCTTGTGGCGCCACAACTCCACCGATCCCCCAGCATACATCTACATGATCGAGGCAGCTGACGACGGTCAAGGACTTGAAACAACCTGGCTATAGATCGGTTTGCAGTGGGAAGAGCTGGCTGAAATCCCTGGACTGCAGGAACCTTCTTGCACTTTCCGGTGGTGCCTGTTATCAGGCCTGACAGGGTGATACTGTTCCATATTCTGCAGCATTGCGCTTTCCTTTGCTTGATTCCTTTTGTATGATGCAGGCAGTTTGACACGATCATCATTGAGGACAATGTAGTCCCACAGGCACGACCGGAAACATACACACACACACACACAAACAAGCTCGGGTGAATATTCAAATTCTCTGTGGACGATTTGGGAGGGACGCGGGCTGTGTCAATTTTCCCCACAAACCCGAGTGGACTCTGAAAGTTTTACCGATGTCCACACTACTGGCTTTGGACTAGGCACCCCACTGGGTTCGTCAAAGAGATCTACAGCGGATTCTCCGTGGCCAGGCAAGTGGATTTTGCACTGAATCATTTTAATGCATGCCAGGCATGCTAGGCACGAATTGATGCGCGCATGAATATTTTGTTCTCAGTTAGCAGTCTTGCATATCCAGAACAGGTTCTTTCACGTGAACACGATTCAATAAGCTTCTTTGACGTCGTCCTTGTCAGGACACTGGACATCGAATTGTCGAGATGCTGAATGCAGACCGCACTTTGCGAATTGAGATGGCGGCATGGCTTGAGCATTGGCTTGAGCAACCCCGCAACTCTGTGGCAGAGCTGGGCTGGCTTGAAGTGGCCTCAGGTCCTAGATCCATTTCCCCAGCTTGAGATCACCCCGCCGCAGCAGGGCAGGTGCGAAGCACTCCTTTTCTTGGTGCCCCCTGAACTTGCCGTGCGCACAAATTGGCAGCTCCAACGCACAGCGGCTTACAGCTTGGATTTGCGGAAGTCGGCAGGTGGTACCGGAACAACAAGATCAAGGCAGCAGATCTTGGGCCGAACCTCTCGCGATTGCAAGATTGGTCGGGCAGGTGCCAGATATTCGAGGATCAGAGGCCGCAGTGTTGGTCAAGTGCGAACACTTGCGACATGGTTCGGGGCTGTTCAGAGAAATCCTGATGGAGTTTTTACTGTGGAGATTCCGACCTGGAGACAGCGTTCGACTTTGTTGTTGAATACTGAATGTAAACTAGCGTGCGTCCGAGCGCCGACAGAATTGAAATCAGCCAACAAAGCTTGAACAATGAAGGGTGCTGGCATAGTCCTGCCAGGAAGTCGGAAATCTGGCAGTTTGCTGGGGCCGCTCTCCAAGTGGAATTGCTGGGCGCAGCTGTTGGACCTGGGGCTGATGTCGAGGTGAGAGAGCTGGGGAGTACTACGCTCTTGCTGGCTTCTTGAGCTTCGTGAACCCCAACTACCTGGCCAGGAGCGACTTGGAGCTTGAGTGTTTGCATATCAATGTGAGGACTGCCTCAGTGAGCGCAGCCTTTTTCTGCGAAAGGATCTCCCTGGGCTTGACAGCTACGGGCGCGGGGACCACAGCGCCCATG